TCTTAAAATTCTGCTTTAATGGAGGTGAAGGACTGGGAACCTGAGAATCTGTATTCCTAATAAACTCCCCGCTGATGCTGATGGTCTGCAGACCACACTTCAGTCACGCTATCTAAAGGATTTCTCATTGTTTCTATGATAAATTTAGTAATGCTAAATTCTTAGCATTACTTTCAGGTTCTATATGAGCTTATTTACTTCTTTACATTCCTCTTCCACCATGTTCCTCTCATTCCTGGTGCTTGTTTTGATGCTATGCTGTGTCCTGAAATATGAATACCTATTTGTTTGCCTGGCTGATCCTTACTCCTCGTTCAATATTCTGATCATTTATTTATTCTCTTGAGGGTCCACAAACTCAGGCATGCAAGACATTTATTTTTTCTAAAGTTGAATTTAACTCTTTGACTCCTAATAGAAACTAAATTTAAATGTGGGTAATCTTAGTTAATTCAGAATCTCCACCACATCTTGCCTAGGTTGTTTCAATGTTTGAAGGGACCTATGAACTTCCAAGGTGCCAGGCATTAGGGTCTCAGTTATCAACATCCAAATATTCTAGCATCTACCATCTCTCCACATTCTCATACCCAGCTGGCCCTCAAGTGCTGCTATGTCCTACTTGTCCCAGAAAAAAAAAGTACCTTTAAGTAAGGTGACCACTAATCCTACTTTGCCCAGGAATAAAGAGTTTCCCAGGATGTGGGAATTTCAACACTCAAATCAGGAAAGTCTTAGGCAAACTGGGATGATCGGTCACCCTATCTCTAAATCCAACTCTTTATCAATGTTTCAAGGAACATTTGAAGACTCTCTTAGCAGCGGCATTGAGGGAACTCTGTAAGACTAGAGGCTTTCTGTCTAGACACTCTACCTCTATTCTATGGTTTCTGGTCTATCTTAGACACAGGTGAACTTTACAAGCTGGTTACCTTCTTGGGCTTCTTTGAGGAAGAGAAAAATTTGTTCCCTTTGGTTTTGGATTCTCCAAAATTATTGGGATGTTATCACTATCAATGTGTTGGGCTGCAAATAATAGACAACCACATTACAATGAATTATATAAATTGGGTGTTTGTTTTCTCCAATCAGAAGTCCAGAAATAGCCCTGGTTGGTATAGCTCAGTTGGTTGGAGCATCAACCTGTCACCAAAGGGTTGCAGATTTGATTCCTGGTCAGGGCACATGCCTAGGTTGTGAGTTCCATCCCCAGTGCAGGTACATGTAATCCTGGTCTGGGCATGTATAATCCCCAGTCTGGGCGTGTATGGGGGTGACTAATCAATGCTTCTCTCTTGCATCAATGTTTCTCTCTCTCCCTTCCTCTCTTTCTAAAAATCAGTGGGGTATCCTTGGGTGACAAGAGGAAAAAAAAGTCCAGAGATAGGTAACCTTAGGATGTCTACTCAAGACTACCTTTAACTTCCTCCTCTGCCATCATCAGTACATGATTTTAGTCCTCATAGTTGCAATCTAACTATTATAACTCCAGGAATATGAATTTGAGGATGTCTCTTTTTATCTTTACAGCAGAGGAAGTCAAGGAATAAGGGTGAGAATGTTTGAACATCCTATACTCTACCACAGGAATAGTCACCAATGTTTAGCTCTCTTGTTTTTCCTTTAATACCCTTTGACTAATATTTATTTGTATTAGAAATGGTGGCTTGGGCTTCTGAAAGTTAAAATCCAAAAACTAGCATCTTTGCTGTACTATATTCTGTTGTCATTATCCTGCCCTTATACATAAGATATCTCCTGTCCCATGTAAATACTAGGAGGAAATACCCATTGACTAAAATATTAAAATAATATTCTACTTCCATTCATGTAACAAATGTTTATTGAGTGACCATAATGTGCTGGGCACATCGCTAGTCCCTAGAGATTCAATAGTGTGCCAGACATCTAGGTATCTGTTCTCATAAATCCTATAAACAAACTTTTAATATTATAAAAATATGAAGAAATCAAGGTTACTCTAGAAAGTATAATGAGTAAAGCCTCCCTGAGGAGGTGATATACAAGTTAGTATCTGAAGGATGAGATTGAGTTAGCCATGAGAAATGCTGAGGGTAGAACATTCCAGATAGAAGAAACTATACTCAAGAGCCTAAAGTTTTGTTGGTGCCTGCGCTCCCTCCTGAAACTCTAGGCAAAATAATCTATTCCTTGTCTCTTCCAGCTTCTGGTGGTTGTCAGAATTCTGTGGCTTGTGTCTGCATCTTTCCAGTCTCTGCCTCCATGGTCACATTGCTTTTTCTTTTGTGTGTGTAGCATCTCCTAATTTCTTCTTATAAGAGTATTTGTGATTGCTTTGAGGGGCCACCTAGCTAATCCAAGATAATCTATCTCAAAACTCTTAATTTAATCATGTCTGAAAAGGCCCTTTGCCAAATAAGGAAACATTTACAGGTGCCAGATATTAGGACCTGATATCTTCGTGGGGGAGGGAAGCATTATCAATCTGCCACAGCTTACATCTATATTTACCCACTTTGTTCAAAACTGTGCCAAACTGCCTTATCACAATCCATGAATATTTGCAATACTCTCCTTAAGTCCCAGTGTAAGCTAAACCTGAAAAATTATTTTATCATTAAAATTATTTTATTTTACAATAGAAAATTTTAATTGTTTTTGATTCAGTGATAAATGCCAAATAATGCTTATAGATTCTAAGGCAATCAAGCTATTAAATAATCTAGGATCCATATCATTTGAACAATGGTTGAAAGAATTGGCCAAATTGAAGAGAAGAGAAGGCTTAACAGAAGATCACATAGCTTTCTTTATACATATGAAGATGTTTCACAGAGAATAGAGATTGGATACATGTTGAATCAGAAACAATTGTAGGGAGAGAGAAGCAGATTTCAATTCAATATAAAGGAGAACAGACAATGCAAGGTGCCCCTTCAAAATGAAGTCTTAAAAAAAAGATTTTATTATTTTTAGAGAGATAGGAAGGGAGGGAAAAAGACAGGGAGAGAAACATCAATGTGTGATTGCCTCTCACATACCCCCTGCTGGGGATCTCGCCTGCGACCCCACCATGTGCCCTGACTGGGAATACAGCCAGCGATCATTTCGTTCACAGGTCAGTGCTTAATCCACTGAGCCACTCCAGCCAGGGCTGAAGTGTCTTTCTAATTCTTCCAATTCTGAAAGTGTTCACGAGTATGCAAAGGCCCTGAAAGGAGGAGTGCAAATAGATGCAGAGAATATATCATCAGATATAATCATGAGGATATTTAATAAAGACATAAGGTCTCTTTAATGACTGATTCTAAATAAAGCTAGGCAATATTATCCTTTTTAAAAAAAATCTTCATCTGAGGATATGTTTATTGATTTTAGAAAGAGAGGAAGGGGGAGACAAAGAGAGAGAGAACATCCATGTGAGAGAGAAACATTGACTGGTTGCCCCTCGTAGGTGCCCTGACCGGGGATCGAACCCTCAACCTTTTTTTTTTGGTGTACAGGACACACTCCAACCAACTGAGCCACCAGGCCAGGGCAATATTATCCTTCTTCATCCATTTTCCAAATTACAGTAAAGCCAGAGTGACCTTTAAAAGTGAAATCTGATTATGTCAGCCGCCCTTGATTAAAACCCGTCATTCGCTGAAAGACCCTTTCAGTATTGATCCCTGGCTTCTTTTCGTGTCTTATCTGATGCTTTTTTCCTTTCTCTTTGCATTCTCATATATTGCTTAACTTCAGCTACTTGCTCTTTCATACCTCAAGGCTTTTGGACATGCTGTTCATTCTGCAAAGCTTTCCTCCTTTCTTGCCTGGGTTACTCCAGTTGGGTCCCCAGTTTGCAACTTATTTTGAACTGTATTTTTAAGAGGAAAGCTTTAATTATATTTTTTTGGCCATGTCTGTCTTCCCTGCTACAATGTGAGCTCTTGATGACAAAGACTTTGTATCTTGTTCAGCACAGGACGTAGCATATGGTGGACACGTTCAAATATTCGAATGAATGAATGGACTATCTGGTTTAAAGTGGAAAGGAGCCTGGTGGGAAAAAAATGTTTGCCTGACACCAAATTTCTGGTTGCAAATTTTCAGAAACACTAGTATGGTTTCTTCAAAGAGTGTACTTCATGAAAGAAAAGGGAGGCCGATGAGGAAAATTAAGCAATCATCAAACAAGCCAAGGTCCATCAAGGTGGAGTCAATTTGGAATGTCAAAAGCTTCATGGATAACAAAAGCTGGGGCGCCAAATCATACTGGCTTAAGTTGTAATATGCGTTCATTCATTCCCAAATATTCATAAAATGCCAATTATGTGCTTAGCACTTGGAGTCAGACATTCAAAGGTGGGCAAGTCTTTCTTGTCCTTAGCAAATCTACAGCCTAACAAGCACAGACAAATACTCAGCAAAGTAAATTCCACAAAGTGTGGTAAACACTGCTAAAGAAAGTATATCCGTGTTATGACGTACCTAACTTGGGGGCGGGGGGGGGGAGGAGAGGGATGGAAGGACAGAAGGAGAGCGATGTTGCTTAGGGAAGCCTTTCAGGTTTAAGCTGAGACCTGAAAGATGAGGAGGAGACTTGGCGGTCTGGGGAACTAAAAGAAGTTCAGCAGTTATGCTTTGGTATCCCACAGAAAAATACTGTTAAGATACTGAAGGGCACCTTGGCAGTTTAGCTTACAGCAACTCTGGTGTGAGGGAGGTCATTAGCCTTGCGAACAATCCTTGAGCAAGAGCGATAACGTCCTGCACTTCGACATTTCACCTAAACTGGGCTTGCCTCAATCTACTCATTCGTTGTTCCCCCAGGTTCCCACAAAATGCAGAGTGGTCGTGGCTCGGAGGCAGCCCGGCTCTAACGCACCCTGCAAGTAGCACCTCCCCTGAAAGCCAACTCCACCCGGGGAAAGAGGCTCCAGAAGCCCCGCCCACGCCCTGGCAAGTTCTCCTGGGCTAAGTTCCTGGGGCCGCCGGGCCGCGGCGGTCACGTGACCCGAAAGTGTGACGTAGGAGGAAGGAGACGCCATTAGAGGGAGGCGGAGAGGGAGTGCTCTTCGCCTTTCGTCGGTTGCCTGACGTGGTTGCTGGGGCCCTTCATTCTCGGACTTTCCCTCGGCCCTTCGAGGCCTCTCCCCAGGAGGCATTGGAGACAACGCCCGGTGTTGGCGAACCAGTACGAAGGGCCGCGACTGTGAAGGCGCTGCGGTGGCTGTGGGGAGCTCGGCGCTGCTCTAGGGTTCGGGTGGCTGGGAAGCGACGGGATGGCTGCGGCCGGCGGCGGGGCGGCGGCGGGCCGAGCCTATTCGTTCAAGGTGGTGCTGCTGGGGGAAGGCTGTGTGGGGAAGACGTCGCTGGTACTGCGCTACTGCGAGAACAAGTTCAACGACAAGCACATCACCACTTTGCAGGTGCGGGCCCCATAGAGCGGGAGGTGGTGCCTGGGGGACCCTACCTCTCGGGGGCCGTGAGGACTCTACTGCCACGGTGCGCTGGATCTGGGCTCACAAATCTCAGGCCTGACATCTCCGCGTTCGAATTGCCGTTCCGAATTCTCCCTGGAGACACGCGCGGTCGGGGCAGCCTGTAGACATAAGGACAGGCTGTTGGGAGGGGAGTGGGAGGACCCTGAAAAGTCCCCTGTGTCTCTGGCTGGCATGTCTTGGAGTCCCCATCACTGGGCTTGTTTTTCCCCATCGTTTCGCTTCCGCTTGGGGCCTAGGTGCCTTCACCCTACAGCCACCGAGTGACTTCTCCCCCCGCCCTTTTTTTTTGCTCTTTCGGAATTAGGAACTTGGCTGCGGATTTGATTTTGCGAACTAGGTGATTTGTAACTTTAGTTCTTACTGATGACTAAGTGTTTATGCAAGTTCAATTTTGTCCTGTTTTTGAGTAAGGTGCTGATTGGCAAAACATTAATCTCTGGAGGGATTTTGAAAGGACCGCTTGCCCGTGTGTGTTACGCAGTTTCATTGCTGCCTGCGTGGTTCTGACTTTTGGGTCAGTCACATTCGGTGAGGTCGGTCGACCCACATTCCTGTGGAAACGTCATGTGAATACCGGCTAACAATTGGTCCCCAAACTAACAGCACAGCTGCTGCTGCTGCTACTATTTATTTTCTTTGCTTGTGATATGGAGCGAGGTTTCTTCTGCAATTACATTGTGGTTACTCAGAAAAGTGTTAGAATGTATTCATTGATTGGGACAGAAACCAGACCTGTGAGGCAGTTGTAGTCTCTCCTGTCTCCCAAAGAAATCAGGTTGCACGTGTTAGAAGAAAAATACCAACTGATCTGACTCAATCAGTGTTGTCAGAGACAGTAAAACCCTAGTGGACTTTTGAGCCTGATTGTCTAGATTCATAGCCCACCTCCATTCTTTTAACTAGTTGTGTGATCTTGGGCAAGTTCATTAATCTGTCTCTGCCTAAGTTTCTTCATCTGTCAAAGTGGCCATTATAAGACTGACTGACTAGCTCATAAGGTTGTCAGGACAAATACATGTAAAAGTGACTAGAACCGGGTCCAGTGTAAGCTCTTCATCTGTGTTATTACTTCCCCAAAGTGCACGATAGATCTTAATTAATGATTGTGGAGTGCGTAAGAGCATGAACACTATTAATTAAATTTTCAATATTCTAATTGTTGTGACATTTAATGCTTGATGCTATTATTAAACTACTGAGTCTAGAATTTACAAAGATGCTCCAGTTCTGATTACATGTTCTATTTTTACTTCTGGGCAAAGCATAATATCTGAAAAAATTAATGCGAGGAAACTCCTGGTTTTTTTCCCCTTACATCCTTGTACAAGACCAGTATACAATTTTACTAGTGAGTTGTTGAGTGCTTTTAGTGATATTTGTAGGGTAAATAAATACATTTCTGTGATCATTTGAAACTTTAGAAGTTCAATTAGGTAAAACAGCAATAGCTAACATAGAGTTCTTAATATGCTGAATACTTTTGTTTTGTCATTTTATTCTTATAACAGCCTATGAGGTGGATAGTTTTGTTAGCCCCATTTTATTTATAGGTGAGGAAACAGGCTTTGTTAAGTTGAGTAATTTACTGGTCATTTTATTGCCACAACTTATGCTGCCAAGCTGAAATTTGAACAGTTTTTGAGCATTTAAGTCACATGCCTCTGGATATTGGTAAACCACTCCTTAAGTGGTTTCCTTTATGCTACAGATCTAAGATAAAAGAGAATACCATTGTAACTGAGCTCTCGATTAAAAAATTATTATAGCCCTTCAACCTAAAAATTACACTCTTACTATATATTCTAAAAACACCCTTGAAGGTAAAAGTAGGCTACTTTTAAATATCTGAGAAAAACCTCTGCTGGAGACTGTCCGCAGGAAGTCCACTCACATCCAACCCAACTCCAGGAAGAGGTCCCAGAAGCCCCGCCCATGTCCAGGCACATTCTTCTTACCACATCCCAGGAATCTACACAAGGTCCTGTGCAGTCCACCCAGGAGAGGATGAAATTATGGTGGATCTCCAGTATCAAAGCATAGCAGTCTTGATTTTGATGTTTATATAACTTATCACAACAGTATCTGGATTATATTACAGAATTGAGGATTTTGTTGTATACCAATGTATGGAGACAGTATTAATATCTAATCTCTTTCTTTTAGATATCATTTCATCTCATCTCATCCTAACAGTTTCTCAGAGAAATTTGGCTTCATTGTGATCCATAAAACACATCCTTGTATGCTTTTAATTTCCAAATAGAACACAAATCAGAAGATAATGACAGAAAGTTCCCATTTTCTTGTCAACAAAACTGCTTATCACCTGTCTTTCTAAAATATTTTGTGTTTTGCAGAGAACACTTTCATGCATTCATATTTCAAAGAATTATAGGACTAAAAGAAACCTAAGATTAGTTCATGGTTCTCTGTTTCAGTCTTTTGTTTACTATTTCAGTCAAGTGATTGTCCACTCTTGTCTTGGAGATGTGATGAACTGATACAAAAAATGGAAAACTATGTCCTAAGGGGACCTGTTTTATTTTTAGACAAGTTTAATTTCCAGTAAGTTTTTCTGTGTGCAAAGCCAAAATCTGTTAACCTGTAGTTTCCAGCCCTAGTTCTGTTGCCAAATGTTGGTTGCACATGGCATACTTTCTGATAGTTGAATATAGCTATCACATCTCCTTGAGTCACGTCTTTTCTTGGATAAACAGCCCTGGTTCCTTTAACTGTCTCTCCTGTGATGTTCTAAATCATTTCAATGTTTTGACATCTTTTCTAGACACTCAGTGTTTACTCGTTGTCCTCTTTCTTTAAAAATGTGTTGCCTTGTAAATGATTACAAGGGCGGTTTGAACTGAACAGAGAAGTACAGGATATCACCTCCCCTTTTTTCTAACACTGAAGTAGAAAAGAATCTATGATCTTTTGGGGCAGTTATCACACTGATTAATATTTGGATTGATATCTTACTGTTACTTGCTTAAAAAAGAGGGGGGAGAAGTGTTACATCCCTTAAATTCTTTTTCCTTGGAGCTTGTAGTTAAATTTTTTGGTTTTTGTTTGTCCCTAACATATTTGACCCATTAAATTTCACTTTGATAGACTTGGTTGGGTCCTGGGCATGCAAAGAAGAATACGGCATGGTCCCTACTATCTGGATTAGCCGCTCATTTTAACTTTATCACCTGAAGATTTGGTTAAAATCTCTTTATGTCTCATCAGGTCATTAATAAAGATTTTGAAAGAAAGGGGAGAGGGACAAGAACGAAGCTCTGCAGCAGGTCTTACTGTAGTCCAGTGATGTGTGACAAGAAGTGTATTTTTCTTTAGACATTTTTTTTTAGATATTTACTTTTAGAGAGGGGGCAAGGGAGGAAGAAAGAGAGGGAGAGAAACATCAGTGTGAGAGAGAACATCAATTGGTTGCCTGGACTGGGGACCAAACCTGCAACCCAGGCACGTGACCTGACTGGGAATGGAACCTGCTACCTTTTGCTTTATGGGTTGATGCCTGGCCAACTGAGCCGCACTGGTTAAGGCTAGACATTTGGAATCTTAGGGTGGGGCTTTTTCAGACTATGCATGGGCCATAGTCTTCTGTCACCATATTAATAATAATGGAAGCAAAAAGCTTAAGATTTACTGTTGTAGGCTGCTACCTAGTGAATACAAAACCTTTAATGAAAATGGTTATTCCAGCATTACAAATCTCCTAGCTTTTTTGTATAGCTACATTAGTATTGCCCACAGGGGATATCACAAGATGCTTTGTCAGATTCTTGCAGAAGACAGGGTAGCACTGTGTTGCTGCATTAGAAGGCCATACCATGTGGTAAAAAGGGAAAAGGCTTTGAAGTGAGACTTTGGTTTGAATTTTGGCTTCTACTTACAGCCATCATGATGCTGATTATTCTAATGTTTGTAAGCTTGTATCTCAGGGATGTGATGTAAGTTTGGCTCTTGAGTCATGGATTGTTCTTTGAAACAATTATTTTAAAACATAGAGAAACAGATAAAAGGATACATGTTATTTTGGTAAATGCTCTTTTTTATTTTCTCAAGCCAAAAAAAATAAATAACTTGGGAGTCCCAGGCCAAAAGTTTTCCCCTGAAAAAAAATCATGATATTGTGGCAAACGTTTAAGGCTCTACAAATGTTGCCTGGTCTCCATGCTTAGGAAGGTGTCCCTAACAACAGTTGAACATCTATGATGGTATCTTTAGCATGGCTCATTCCTTTCTGAGTCAGACTCCTGCTTTGCAACCTCCAAGATGCTCCCCTGACGGCCCTAATCCCTGGACTTAACCTACAGCAAATTGCTGTATTTTCTCCTGGATGTGAAATTTCAACTTCTTTCTCAGCTTCTTGAGTCAAGCTACCCATCTCCTGAGTTGTGTCTCCCTACCTGCTCTTTGAATGTTGTGCAACACTAGTCGTCCTTGCATTTAATGGCAACAGCTCCCATTTATTGAACTCTTCTCTGAGAGGAAGTTTAGCCTGAGGTTAAAACAATGGTCCTGAGGTCAAACCTGAAGTTAGGCTTCAGTTTGAATTTTGGCTTCTACTTGTAGCCATCATGATGTTGGTTATTCTAATGTTTGTAAGCTAGCTCTTTTTAATAAAATGGGAGAATCTCACTCAGGATTTTTTTATGTGGATTAAATAGAGAGCCATTATATGTAAGCTCCTAGTATGGTGCCTGGTGCATGTCTGTTTAATATGTGTTTGCTGTTGAATAGATAGGTGGTGCTTAATTTGTGTTGGTTTCCTTCATAGTAATTCAGTCAAAAAGGTGATGGAATTAATTTGAAATGAATTATTTTGAGAACCCATGCTGTCTCTAAAGGATAACTACATTTTAAAATTGTTTAGCTCTGGCTGGCATGGCTCAGTTGGTTGGAGCATCATCCCATAGATC